ATATTTCTCTGCCTTTCCTGTATCCTCCACAAGCTGCTGAAGACATCAGAGAGCATTTTCTCAGTGTTTACGAGGTTGGAGAGGCAGGAATAATTGGGCCCTTGAAGCTTGGTTTGTGTAATAGCAGCTCTGCTTCAGATTTGATCCATGCCCAGTTGAATCCAGAAAGAACTGGTAAAGACCAAAGCCCCAGACTCAGGTTTTGGTCATATTTCAACTTGACATTTTTGTCAAGATATTATGTGTCTCCTGAGACATACACCACTGTGGAGGCAGCATGCTCCCCTCCCTGCAAGCAGACAGCAGGTGAACCAGTGCCAGCTGCACCTGACTTTTTACCACCAGCAGACAAAGCTTCCAGGTCTCCACGTACAAACGGCTCCATTTATTTACACCAGCACAAGCAGTCCTCCACTTGGGTTTGCCCGAGGAGAGCGTGCACCCTTTACTGCTCAGTCTAATTACTGACTCAGACTAATGGCTCATTACTGATGCAAATTGCTCAGTCTACTGGCTGCACAACTAGGCCATTAACGTTTTCTAGAGGTAAGGCTCTTGGAAATCTGCAGGAAGAGAGTCAAAGAATGGGCCAACTTACCTGCAACTGCAGCAGAGAATTTCCCTGCAATGAAGCCTGCCTTTATGTCCATTTCTCACAGTTAAACCCACAAAAAGGAACTCAATTCCAGATGTTTGACAGGAATTTGAAGTTATTCCGCTTCGGTTCCTCAAATTACTCCAGTGTTTTCTTGTAGGCTGCAAACTCATTGGGCAAAGCTTTTCACAACTCCATTACAAGACAGTAAGTGTAAAACAAGCTCAGCCCAGGCTTTCCCTTCTGTGAGGTCATTACATTTACATGGGAGCTTACATTTCACCAACATCACTGTTCCTGCCCCAGGTTCAGGGAGCTGCAGATGCTATTGCCAGCTTTTGCAATAGGGCAGCAAAGCAAGTAAAAACAGGCCTGCAACTTTATGCACTGCAAGAGACTTTGTGAAAGAAAAAAGGACTTCATATCACTCAAGACTCTTCATGACTGACACTGACAGTTTATCCAGCCCATTATTTACCCTGTACTTGCATCATCTTTTAACCCCACATTATAGAACCAAGCCTCCTGTCCCATCTCCTTCATTCAGCTGATTTAAAAATGGTATCAACACCTCTCACACAGTGTCCAGAACAGTTAACAACCACTAACAAATGAGTACATCCACTTGATGTTTTTTCCTCTTCTCTCCTTTCCAATCTCTCTACTTTTAATTCACTCAGTTTCCAGTTTTAAGAAGGAACCAAGTGACTTTATGGAGGTCAGCAATGACATAGATGCATTTTACATCCATCTGTCTCCTGACCAGCCTACTTTTCAAAATGTGCCTGGTGACTGTGAAAAACACTAATTGTGGCTGCAAAATTCCAAATCTGTAGCTTTGAGCTCCTAAATCCCCATCATTCCTCAGATAAAAAAAAATAAATAAAGTTTTGTTTTGTTTCATGTTTGCTTGTTTTGTTTCAAACGTGTGGCACAATTTCCCTTTGGCCAGAGAGGAACGTTCTGCATTCTTGAGTCAAGGCAGAAATCCAGTCACGTTGGCTCTGAGGATGCCTTTCACTGCTTCTTAAAACATTAACAGCCTCCCAGTGGGACAGAGGGGATAGATCCAGCCCTCTAGGGGACAGTGACCATCTTCCAAGTCTCTTAGGCTTTTCAAATAAGCAGCAACTGGAGTAAATTAGTGCAAAAAGCTCCTTACAAGAAAGGATTGTACAAGGAACAAGCTGAAATAAGGAACAGACTGCAACACAGATCTACAGGTTCTGGATATCCTAATGCCACCCAAGAATAACTGATTTCCCTAACAAAGATCCTAGAAACTTATTCTTCACTTGCAGGCTGAAACAACAGTGCTAAATGCCTGAGCTGTAAAGTCCACACACTGAGCATGTTCTGGAGAACCTGGGTTTCCATTCCACCTCACAGAACACGCCTCCAGCTCCCCCAGGCCCAGGTCTGCTCTGCCTTCCAGCAATAGAACACTTCTCAGACACAGAACAAATCAATAAGTCCTATTTTAAAGTTTTAAGTTTGGTGCCAATTTAATTTGATTTAAATTACCTTACAGGGCAAATTGTATGAGTAACTGGCATTGCATCATACAGCAATATCAGCAATGTAAACATGGGCAACCAGAGCATGGGATTTAAAAGCAAAAAGGATTTCTTGCCAGCACTCTTGCCTGCTCTCTGCAGAAAGCTCCACAGAGCCACTTCTGGAACTATGGGCCAAGCCACGTGACCATAAAGCTGTTTCATTTTCTTTTCCTCAGTAGTGAGAGAGCCTGTGAGTAGAATCGCATGTAACCTCATCTTCTGGTGATTCCATCACACCTACTGACCCCCAGAAATTAGGACTAAACAGGATGGAAAAGAGGCCAAAACATTTGGAGAAAGTTATTATTGATAACCAGACTATTTCTTCCAACATTAATTCGTCTCTTCTAAAGGAGAGCTAATAAGCCAGTAAAGTCTTTATTTATTACCCAACAGCTTAAGCCTACCCATCTGCACTGTTTCTAAGGCAGAGCAGCCTCCATCCAAGAAACTATTTTGCCCTGAAGACTTGAAAGGCACTAGCATCACACAAAGTTTATTAGCTCCATATTTTACATTCCTGTATGAATAGGACAAAAGAAATCACTTTTCAGAGTCTTAGCTATTCCTTTTCCTCCTGAGAGTGCCTATTCTGTGCCAGATAATGCTCTTCGACTCAGAGACCTTCATCCAGGGATGGAAAGAGGAGTCTGCTGTGCAGCATGAAAAACCCCAAAGCTCCCAAAGCTCCCAAATCAGATGGCAGTTCCCCAGAGTGATGTCAGAAGTTTTCAAGATGTGCCTCAAGAACAGAAAGATGATCAATGACCTAGTTTCTGCTGGATCTCTCTTCATGCTGCCCTTTTTTGTCTGCTTGCAAAGGGCAATCTTTGCAGAAAGAGTCTGAGCACTCAGCTGGAATGGTTATATGCATGCTGGCTGGCCACCAGTCTTCAGGGAAGCTGGACCTCCAGCGACCACCTTCCTTCAAGGAAGCCAGGTTGCTCTTGTTTCCAGCTTTCTTACAACAGGACTTGATACTGAAATTCTGAATCGAGGTAAATTAAGCTAAGAAAAAACACTGGTAGGAAAGCCAAATTCATTTTTAGGTTACACATTCATCACTAGCCTAAAAAGCTATGCTAAGACCATCAAATTTTAAACCAAATTATTTCAGCTTCTAAAAGTTCTCTTGATTTTAGAAGACACGTTTAATCATTTCCCTAACATAATGGAGGAAGGACAAAGGGGCTTCCAGGAGATGTGAACAGATTCAGAACTGAAAGGGGCAGAAACTTCACATGATTGCTTGAAGCATGCTAGCCCAAAGGGAAACATTCTCTTTTTCTTGACAGCTACTGCCTAGGATGCCTCTGCAGCCACATGACCAAGCATACCATTCTTGAAACAGGACACCACAGGCAGCACCAAGGACAACCAGTTTATACGACAAATTTTAGTTTAATTCATCCCATTTACAGTAATCTTTTACTGCATGTTCCAACCTCCGAGTTAATAAAGGGAGTAAAAATGGGAAAAACACATTCAGATGTTTTCCTCTTTTGTTCCTCTCTCTTGTGAAACCCAAGGTTAGCTGCTTCAATTTGTAGAAGAACAGATAAGAACTACTCAGGTAGGAAGCCTACAAAGAACCCCTACTCAAAAATAATACAGATTTCAAGAGCTACTTGATTCACTTGTACTTCAGGCTAGACTAGCAATGATTGCATTAGAGTGATACCAATGCATTCAGGTGCCAATTACACATTAACATGTAATTATAGGTTTACAGAGACATACCCTTACCTAAAATAAGAAGGCTTCAGCATTCATTCTTAAATAGTTTTCCTTGCATCTTTCTTCTCCCTACCTTTTCCTAAGATACTACACACAACCAATAGGCTGGAGAACAGATATGCTCTAAATGTATCACTGCTCCAAACACAATAATCTGTAATTCCTGTTAAGCGTTTTCACAACTGGATTGACAGTCTCAGCATAGAAGATGTTCTTCAAATTACAGTGTCAGCATCAAGGTAGGCATTTTCCTGCATTTTGAAGTTTCAGGAATAATTGGTTTAGAGAGTTAGCAGTAAAATCCTGCTTCAGATATCAGAACAGGAACTTCTCCTAGGAAACAGCCTCATCCTCACCATCAGGAGTGAGGATGCCTTCATCACTGTCTTCCTGTAGCAGGAGACAAACTCAAAAGTTGACCCTGAATAGGGGGTACAGGGGACAAGGGCTGAAAATCAGGTTGGGAAGAAGGCCTAGAGACAAACTTGACTGCTCCTCAACTTCAGTGGTCATCCTCCCAAGACTATTTCAATGAATGCAAAAGGAGAAGGATGACACACCTAGTGCCTTGTTCAGGAAAAGCAAGGAGTATAAAGAAGGAGGATCACTGCCTACTGCACAAAAGATTGAGGCTTCCAAGCACAGCTAGAGAAGGTTTAATCCAGCACTGCTCCAGCTGGCCAGAGGATTTTATGTTCTGTTAAAAAAAAAAAAAATCACATTTCAATGCACATAAAGCCATAACCATGACATTGGCACTCCTCACTCCCAGTGTACCAGTCATATTGATAGGCCTCCTAACCTCTAGAGATTTTACTGAGAAATGCTCAGTAGTTAACTTCAAGGTGAACAAGCAGAGGTTTTTCTGTACCAGCTGTCCCTTTGGGAAGCTCTGCTTTCATGTTCCACATCTCAGTTGAGGAGCACTTCTCCTTCACAGAGTGGTGCACAGATTGTTGTCTTGCTCCTACTGAGGGCAGAGGTCTAAAGGCACATAAGCCTCCTGCACACCGAGCTGCTTCGGAACCCAGGTTCTGAGTTATCTCAAGGGACTTGGCTCAGCAGCTGCTACTACAGAACAAGTTGCTGAAGCACAGGACTTGACTCACCTTTCCTTCCCGAATTACCCTGGCTCGATGGTTTATCAGTTACAGAACCTAAAGGGGAGGAAAAAGAAATAATAATAATAATAAAAAAAGACATCTATTTAGATGCTGCTTGATCACAGAATATGTTTTGTCATATTATGTGTCACTATCTCAGACACAAAGTGTCTGTTTTACTTGCCAACAACTCAGTTTAGGATTCAAAGAGCCCGTGGCTTCAACCAACTAGGATAGCATAAGGTAGTTTTGTGTGTTAAGATGTTAAATGAGGATGAGGGTAAACAAGAAATCATTAGTAGATGGATCCAGTGATTTGGACGTGCTCAACAGAGCAGTGTGCTAGTAAGAAATGTGGAATAAATCCCAGGGTGAGAAGGCAAGAGAAGGCAGTAAGAGTCACTTCTTTCATTTGCAGATGTCAGGAAGAACAAATCAAAAACAGGTGGGGAAAGTGTGCAGGGAATGCAAGGGCAGGATTCTAAAGGAAAGGGATTAAGTGGGACAATTTGCAGAAAATGGATTTCAACCAACCCCTGAACATCCCCAGCTGTTTGAAAAGGGACACCAAATAAGATCCCACATGTACTTGAATAGAACACATCTTGGATTTTTTAATGTAACTTAGACCTTCACGTAATACACATGATTCAACACTTGTTTCTGCAGTTTGCTTTAGTGCTTCATCAGCCAGTGTTCCACCAAAACTTCAACTGATAAAAATTTTTTAAACTAATCCCTTACCAAAGTGTAGAAAAATCAATTACAAGTTTGGGTTGGGGGTTTTTTGTGTGTGGTTTTTTTTTTTGTTTTGTTTTGTTTTGTTTTGTTTTTTGTTGGGCTTTTTAAATAGCTTTATTCCCAGGAAGCTGATTCTTCTGTGCACCATTACTAAACAGTTCCAGTGATTACTGATCCTGCAGGAAGCATGGATCAAAAGTCAGCTCCAAAGGAGGCAGCTCTGACAGGCCCAAGGGTCTGGTCAAGACATATTCTAAACATAAACTCTATGGCTCAGGCACTTCGCCTTGCAGATCAGTTCATCACAGATCTGCTGCTGAATTAGAGGTAGAAAGCATGTACTCAGTATTAGCCATCATAGGCTTAACATCTGTGTGTCCTACAATACACCACAACTTGACTTTCCTGGTAATACCATTTTATGAACAGCTCAAGACTAAATGAACATATCAGCCAAACATGCCCTACCAAACCCCTATACTGGGAATGTCATATTCTAAGGTTTAAGCCAAATTACTGTAGCATTTCACCTTACACTAAAACAGGTTATTAATCTTAGGTGGTTTCCATGTACCTGTGAAACACCAAGCATCCACTCAAGCTATGTTGACTCACTGGTTCCCAGAGAGTTCTCTCACACAACCCAAACCCCTCATGCAAGTTGAAAGGACACTGAATAAGGTGAGGAGGATTAAAAACCAACAAAGGTTTTATTGTTTTCATGCTCCCATTTAAAAGGCAACCACTGCAAGGTGTGTGTCCATCACAGCTCACAAATCTTGACTGTACACTAGTGATAAGGGCCATAGGAAACTCTGGAGCCCAGCCCCATGCCATGTGAGCCATGGACCACCATATTCAATGGTGGGAGGAAAAAACCAAACAGCACTCTGTTTTAAGTACAGAAAAGGATGGATTTGGGCCCAGTAAATCAAATGGCAACAGAGCAGTGTCAGGTTGAGTGCCCAGAAGCACATCACTTAATAAACCCATAAGTAACAACCTGGGTCTGGACCTCCCTCTAGTGAGTTGTGGTGCAACCCCAGTGCTATCCAGCCCCATGACACAAATTTGGGGATCCTGAAACTGAGCAATGTGATCAGAAGACCCAAACCCATTATAACAGCAGGACCCCAGATCTGGGGATAGCAGGCAGCAACTACCAGTTTCTCACAGAATCCCCTTCTCAGACTTGTAAGTTTGAAATCACTCTGAAGGCTAAATAACTCCACGGCCCACTAAATAAAGCCCAATAATCACTTTTGTAAAATACTGCTCATGGGAAAAAGTCATCCCATCTGTTAAGGGAATCCCTGGCTTTGGTGCACACAGCAAAACACTGCAACTCTTGCTTTGGCTACCATGTGGTTCTCCTCAGAGAGCTTTGCAGATGTCTGTACCCTAACTGCAGGGTGGGCATGCCACAGTCTGAGCTCCCTTGCAGCTCCCAAGTGCCAGCAAGCACACAGGGAGATACAAGCACAACTGCACTGTTACATCAGGTAAACTGGCCAAGGCACCTGAAAAGATTAAAGGTTCTCCCCAACCCCCCTCAATTATCAAATTAGGATTTGTTGAAACCACTCCCACAGTACCTGAACATACAGGAGTTTTGTTCTGTACAGAAGAGCCACTGATAGGTTTGCCATCAGGTGTCACACACCAGCAGTATCCAGTGTAGGTATGGCACTGCACCTGTTTAATAAAACAAGGAGCAAGCATTTAATTTCTCACTCTATCACCCACCACTTTTATTATAAACCAGCATCTTAGTGGAAGTTCCAACCCAGGCACATCACAAAAACATGCTTTAGAGTGAAGAGGTCACACAGAAGACTGTCTTTGATAATGTTATCTTCTCTTTCTCCTCTCACCTCCCTCCCAAAGAAAAGTTATTTCTCCTACTCCAACTCCTTTAGCTGCAGTTCCACAGCCACTGCTTGAGAACAGCATCTGTGAGTGCTTTGAGAGCATTTTGTGCCATAAACATGGCTGAAAATGCAACAATCCTTCTCCAGATAGATTTAAGCTCTTTCCTGTTACTATGTGAACCTAGGCAGTAGGAGCAAGATCCAACATGCTTACTCTCCATGTATTGACAAGGACTTAAGAACATTTGATGAGGGCTCTAATGAATCAAAAGGTACACAGCATAAGATTAATCTTTCTTTCTTTTAAAGCTCTACTTCCAAACTGAACATCTAAAGTTACCTAGTTCCTTCCTTCACCACAGAAGGACACCAGAATGACTAGTTCAGAGGTGGACCTTTAAAGTGAGAATAGATAAATCCCAATCTAACAGACTGATCCTAGTAATATCTATGCAGGTATTAGCTCAGTGGCACTATAGTTTCATCCAGCTTAACAAATCTAATCACAGCCTTTGCCTCAGCTTTCACAGAGTGGTCAGCATTTGGATGAAATTCGGGATGCCTTTGACTTCCCCTTGAGACAGAAGTAACTGATCATCAGACAGGCATCTGTGTAAATACTAACAGATTCCAAAAGCCTGTCTAGCAAACACTTTCAGTTGTTTCTAGCATGCACATCAGTAATTCCAGCATATTGAAATGGTATAGAAATGCCTATGTTACTACAAGCTCCTTCAATACATTTCTAAAAAAAAAAAAAGCCATGAAATGAGATCATTTCAGAAACTGCCTTTTTATTTTATGTGTAAATTGAACTCTGCCCATTCTCTCTTCTGCCAAACTAGTTCATTGGAGCTGATTTCCCCCATTCCAGTCCTCTCCACACAGAAGAGAAGAGTGATGGGGTGTTTCTGCTGTTCTCTTCATTAAGGATACTTCAGAGCTAAACCAGTCACTCCCCCTTGCTGACAGCTGGCTTCGATTCCCTAAGGTAGCAGAGTTTGTTCAGAGACTTAACAACAGTCTTTTTAAAAGGCTTTGGGTATCACATAAAACATGATCTAAGAGCAATTATAACACGGTACCACGTGTTTATCTCAGGTTTTACTAAAGTGCAAATCAATCACTTTGCCTCAAGCAAATTCACTTTTAGCAGCCAAAAATCAACAATCTCATGTACCCATGTTACTAAATACACTGTTGCCACTGTCTGCACACTTTCATTTTTATTCTGTCAATATATCACAAAAATTGATTGCAAATTACTCAAAAGCACTATGAATATAATTAGCAATAATCAAGTTGCAAAATATTTCCTATTGCTCAATCTAACCAATTGCACATTCAAAACAAGTGTGAAGGGACTGCTTGGGTTTCTGTTTAGTGTTTATCTTTGCTGATCACACAAATTATTCCATTCCCACCAGCACAAGTCTTCACATCTGAGCATTAATTGTAAAAATCTCACCCAGAGATGAAGCCAAATTCCAGGATAGGGTCTTGAATTCAAAGGGCAAGACCATTCCACGTGACACTTCAGAAAAACATCCAGTGTACCCCACATTTAAAAAATTCAGTGTCAGTGACTTGATAGTAATTCAAGAAAACAACAAAGTAGAGGAGTTAAAAAAATGCACTGATCAAATTTAAGATAGATGCATTAACTAAGAGCATGTTGTGCAACTCATCCCAATGGAAAGCTACCAATTACATATACTCTACGCAACCTGAGCACATTATATCCATAAAAGTGAAGTAATTTTGTAAATAACTGAGCTAAGGAATGTTGGTCTTCATTGGACGGATATCCCATGACCCCTTCTTCCCGCTGCCACCATTAAAAAAAAAGAAATAAATCTCAGATTGACAACACTTTCACAAAAACCACATGTTCTACTGCAGCACCAAAGGACTTCCCTACTACAGAAAATAGCAGCAATTAAATCTCAACCTTATACTGAAGGCCAGTCAACTACCCACGAAGGAAGGACACTTCAGTAACCTCAAAAATCACTGCAGTTGGCTTTCCTCAACGTCTTCATGCTGAGAGATGCCTGAACCAGGTCTCAGCATTTTTAGGTGTCACAAAACCAGTGGCCTACAGCCTAGATTCTGCAGCTTAAAGACTGTGAGAAACAACCGGTATACCTCTCATCAGTTACACAGCGCTGGTATAACAATGAAACAAATGTAAAGACAAAACCTAATCCTCTACCATTTTTAACCACTGTCTGTAAACACAAACTCTGGAAAGTGTCAAGTTTTCCAGAGCACCTAGAGTAAGGAATCTTGAAAATTCAGGTTTTTACTTTAGATTTTTTCAATGAGTTCCCAGTGATATTAGCATTGAATTTTTGCTTCTAAATCCCATTTAAATTTTCTACCTGAAATTCAACTTCATTTTTAAGTACTGTTATAATCAGAAGACTAACAATGTAAAAGTAGCATCTGTTTACTGCGCAGATCTAATGTCCAGTAGTTTGGCTAATTTGGGCTTTACCAAAAGACACGTTAGAAAAAGTATGTTTGGCTTTTTTTGATTCTCAGTCTTCTACAGCTAAGCATTGTGTCAGAGAAAATACATTATCAATTTTATACACAAAATAAAGTTGATTTCTAACCAAGCTGTGGCTACAGAGCACTCATTGCTGCTGGAAGGCACACGACAGATAGAATTTGACATCTCAAATTAACATACATCTGTCCAACAGCTGAACATTTTAAAGTTACATAATAGGGAACCAGAGAAATAAAACCTGCAAATCATTTGAGGTCTTCCAACAGATTCCTCACTAACATCTACACTTTCAAAAAGAAAAAAAATATATCACTCTGTAGTTTAAAGCCCTGAAAGCACCCAAAAATTTTTCAGGGGTGAGAAATATGCCATCTCAACTGCACCTCAACAGCAGGATGCAAAGCGTGAGAGACAAACTCATAAGAGTTGCTCTGCTATCGTTGCCCAAAAGAGGAGTGTAGCAGCAGCTCCCGCAGCCCCCCCTGCCACTGTGATGTTAGCTGCTCCTGGATTTCACACATCCCAGCCACTGGCCACATGAACAAACACCCGCTCTCACCAAGTTCATTACAATATGAAAACATGAAAAGTGTAGTCACTGGCAGATGACTCTGCCTCTTCATTTCCTGAGGGAAAAAGAAGCTGCTGTTTGGGTTTCTTCAGTGTCACTGGCAATGCCAGAATCAGATTCCCAAGGAGCCCAAAGCCTCTCCACAAGCAAGCAGCAGCACCACCTCTTCACAGCCACTTGACAAAGGAGGATCGAGGGGCTGTTTCCAAAAGATAAACTGGAAGTGGGAGAGAAATTGCCTGCAGATGTATGAGGGGAGATCAGGGGCAAAGCAGTAATTCTGTGATGGTTGAAACGGGTCTCTACAGAGTTATAGGAAGAAGTTTGCTGTAAGAGGCTCGAGAGTGCCTTGGGCTGAGCACAGGAACAGCAACACTCAGAGTAACTTTCCACTGCTGCTCAGATGAAGATTTTGGTAACCAATTACTGTCCCATTGCAGACCAGACAAACATTTCCTGGCTTCTTCCATAACAGAAGACAGCGAGGAAAAGGGAAGAAAAACATTCCTTCTGCATTCAAAGCAATACTTCTGTGAGAAAAGCAAAGCACATCCAGTTTTTGAATGGCACTGCTGAGGGCGAGTGCAGGCCGCAGAGCCACTGCCCGCACTCACAGCAGGGAGGAAGGCTCCAAACCCTGTCTGCACCCAGGTGCTCCTTGCAAACACTGTAAAAACAGCTAAATAATTGTTCCAAGCCATCCGGTCTGACCCAGAGAGAAGCAGCTGCAGTGTCACACAGCAAGCCTTTCCTTTGGCTGAGCCATTGAGGTTCATCTACAAAGTCCTCTGAGCCCAAGTTAGTGGTGCACAATCAGCACACTGGCTTGATGGCTGTTTATCCTAAGTGCTGATGCCTCTGTCCTGGTTTAAATATCTTGCTGTACTGCTTAGACCCTGGATCTTGTCATATTTTCTGCTGGATTAAGAGTCAGCTGACTATTACCAGAAGCCTGCCTTGCTTTTACAGACAGCTTTAGGGAGCTATGAATCAGTCTGCATCTTAAGTTTGAGCTTCTTTAGAACTGCAATCTCTTAAATAATTTTTGTCACTTTTTCTGTTCCCTGCTCCCATTTAATTCTTCCCAAATGATATTGTGCAGACAAATACTCCCATTAGGGATTTATGCGGCAGCTACCTCCCACAAGACTATGCACCATTCAAGAAATGCCTCCTCCACAGGAATTTCACTATTCATATAACCAGGCAAAGAAGTGATTTGCAGCAAAAGAATCTTCGCTGCAGTCAAGGGCATTCCCAACACACACACTGGCACAGATACCATTTTTAGCTCAGGAGAGGGATGCCCAAGAGAGGCTCTCTGCTTCTGACACAGAATGTGACCCTTTAAAGTTAAAACTGCTCTTACATTGTCACTTTCCTTAAAGCTGTCCACTTCTGCTTTAAAGAATCTGTTCCTTTTCTCTCCACTGGTGCTTCTTTGAAGAAATGCTGTTTATAACCAAAGTTGCTACCTCCCTACCCATCCATGGGTTATCTTTTGCTTAATATACAAATGAGAAACACAATGAGAGCTGCAGGAATAAAGCAAGAGCATAAGTAGCAGATAAATCTGCAGAACAGTATTCACAGAGAGCTCCAGCTACAGTCTTTTACAGAAGGGATGTCTTTTATTAAAAAAAGCCAGAACCAGCTACTAATTAAAGTCCAGATTCTTTATGAAGAAAGAGTTGCTTTAATCTAGCAAGACAGACTGTGTTCTTTCCTTCTGAAA